CTGCTCTGTCCCAAGCATTCCCAAGTCAGCCGCTGATCAGTTTCAGCAGCGACTGACTTGGGGACGCCTGGGGCAGAGCAGCTGGGGTGCTGCTGGGTTGGTCCAGTAGTGCCGCACCTCGGTGCTGTGGGACCAACCCAGCAGCCCCCCAGCTGCTCTACCCCAGGCGTCGGCGAGAAAAGCCTGGTCTGCTAGGGAGGAGGGGGTGCACTAGCTGCCCTCCCCCCCCAGCAGACCAGGGAGACGCGGAGCGGCTTTTCTCGCCGCGGAGGACGCAGGCGGCGGGACCGTGGCGCGTCTCGGCGATCCCGCCGCCCGCGTCCTCCGTGGCAAGAAAAGCTGCTCCACGTCTCCCTGGTCTGCTGGGGGGAAGCGCCCCCCGTGCCACCGGAGGCGGCGACAGTGGGGGAGGCACCCTGCACTAGCGGGGGCCCCCTCCCCTCCCGGTTCGTAACTAGGGGTCCGACTTAAGTCGGACTGACGTAACCCGGGGACTGCCTGTATTCAAGTTAAAGGTGACCATAGCTTTTAACATGCATGGTCTAAAACTTTTTTCCTTAGCCTGGTTCTCAGAAATGGGTGAAACATTTTGGCTGGAATTATCTCCCCAAAAAAGACCAAGACCGATAACACTGCATCTAGAATGAGCAGCCTGGATGGTTAAAGTTTAGCAAAGTTATAAGCAACTAAAACAAAGGTTTTTGTAATGGGCATGCTGGGCAGCCCTAATAGGCAGCACTATGAGTCCCACCTATAGTAAAGATGTGATGACAGCACATTCTCCCTGCCACTCCAGCCAGATAACTATCTTGTGTGAATGCAGAGACAAATCCATAATACACATCAGCTATTTGGTGGATGTGAACAGAGACAGTGATTGCTATGGGGGTTCTGTAGTAACACTGAATTATGGACTTGTCTCAGCGCATAAGTAGCTCTACTGCAATGTGGAAAGAGTTCTGAGGACATCAAATATTTTTCAAGTGAGATTTTTCTGCTACCAGAGTTAGTGTGTTTAAACATGGCATTAACTCCAGGATAGATAATCTCCTGTTTTCTACAAACAATGGCCTATTATTTCTGAGTGGACCTTGGATTCTATTTAGAACAAAATGGTAGTTGGTAGATATCTGAAAGTCCTTTTATTTTATACTTCATAACTCTAATCGAGAACTAGAAGTACTAGCAAGAGAATGTGCAGGAGAGGGACAGCATGCTTCATTCTTGTTGCATAAATTGCTGGTTTTGTCCCCTTGGAGGCTAGTCTGATTTACCCCAAGAAGAGAGTCACACTTTCAGGCTGGGTCCAACTCAAGTTTATTGGTTGCAACCAAGGTACGGCTAAGGAACTCAATGTTCAAAGCAGAGCCGACCCTGAGCGTTGGCTAAGCATCCTTTTTATACTTTCTTTAACTTTCTTATCTAACTTGGCACGTCTTGATTTGTTACCTTAGCTTCGTGTTGCAGCGTTATTGGTTAGCATATTTCAACTCTATTCCATTCAGTAACAACCACCAGTATAGCTTACTTAAGCAATAGCAATTAGCAAATTTCCCTAACTCAAGTAATACGTGTAATCCAGTCCTTGAGAAATGGGTCTAAACGGCTAGTTCCCCTTTTTACTACAGCTTCTAAAACATGCGCAATTAGCTAAATGATATGTGCTGTTTCAAGCTTAAGTAATGGAAGGGGGAAGAAGCACACATAGTCTTTACTAAATTTTACTACATTCTGAAGGATACTAAATAGTTGCTGCTACTGCTCTTAAAAAGGGTTTATATAATAATATCTGCTGAGAGATAGCAGAGAAGCAGCTGTGTTGACTTGATCTCTGCAAGAAAGTATCTCCTCCAAATTAATGCCAAAGTCCTGGCTTCTTTGTTCCCTCGTCTTTCTTAGTTATTACCTCTCCCTTTTTCTCCCTCACTGTTGCACTTCTTGTACCTCCTTTTGCTGTCTTCCCATAACACTTGCTTGCCATCCCCTAGCTAGACTTCACCAGTCTGTGAGAAACATTCATTTTGGGCATAGAGGCATTGCCCATCACCCTCACATTCTGATCTCCAGTTCAGGGAGTCCTCATAAAAACCATGTGCTGCAATGCATAGATATCAACACATGTGATACTGGGTTAGAACTGGACAGATTCTGCTCCAAGAAAATAGTCTATTCTACCTGGACCAAGGAGGAATCTCCATTAGCTGAAGAGTTTAATTTTCTCTCCAAGAGGCTAGTGACTAGAGGATAGTATGTACCCTATTATAATCACACACTTGGCCAGGTCTGATTGTTAGTGCTAGGGATGTAAACAGTTGTCTGGTTAACTGGTTACCCAGTAAGCCCTTAGGCTTATTGGATAGGTAACCAGTTAACCAGGCAGGGGTAGCAGGTGGGGCTGTGGCAGCCCTATCAATCCCAGCCTGACCGTGAGGCAGCCCCAACCCCACGGCTTCCGTGGGAGAAGGCAGGATCCTCGCCTGCTGCACTACGGCTGCAATCCTGGCTCTGCCATGCCTGGGGTGGGAGCAAGCAGGACCCTGGCCTGGCTGCACCTCAGCCCCTTGGCCTAGGCAGGAGCAGGCAAGACCCCAGCCCGACTGTATGGCAGCAACAGTTCCAGTCCCAGGCAGGCAGGAACCTGGCCAGGCTGCTTGGCAGCAGCCCTAGCCCCAGGCAGAGACAGGTGGGAGCCCGGCCTCGCCGAGCCATATGGCAGGCCCAGACTTGCTGATGGCTGTGTGGCAGCAGCAGCTCTGCTCCTGCCGCACCGCTGGCGGGGGCAAGTGGGACTTTGGCCTGACTATGTAGCAGTAGCAGCTCCAGCCCAACTGCACCAATTTTAGTATTCTGTGGATCCTGCCATGTGACAGATTAGGAATGGATAGTGTGCAGTCTGTGTATTATACACACACGCACGCGCACACACACGCACACTTTAATTGAACCCTTAAGGTTGCAGTGTCGAGCACTCAAAAGTTAGGAAATGCTAAAGTTAAGTTTGGTTGTTTATCCTTAATTCAGACCCCGTGCACTATGCATTATGATATGGTCTTTAATTATGTGATCTCAGTTTGTTTTTTCCACTGGATTACACATATTTGCTTTTATCCTCATTATTCAGCAATTCAAAAGGGCTCGAAGCTCCTGGCCACCACTATTGCTACTGTGGCAGCAGCGGCGGCCAGAACCCTGGGCCCTTTCAGTCATCACCAGAGCCCTGTGTGGTGTGATCTGGACAGTGCTAAGAGGTTGGCGGGGGGAGGTTAGTCCCCAGCTCCTGTCCCTTCTGCCTGAGGCCCTACCCTTTCCAGGAGCACAGACCCAGCTCCCCCCAACCTTGCTCAGGGGCCTGGCAATTCTGTCAGCCCCCCTGCACTGATGTCGCATAGGAACCTTATGGCACATAGGGACAGAATTCACGTGATCCAGGGCAGTGTTCCACTGCCTTAACAAGGAGACCATCCTTTCTCTTTTCCTAGGCCTCAGCCTCATTCGCTACACACCTTCCAGCTTCTGTAAGAAGTGGGATGGGGGTGGTCCTACAGAGAGCAGCTTTTTTCACTATACAGCCTGATTGATCCCCAGAGCATGTCTATCCTGTGCACTGAGGGACAGGTTTTGCTGAGAAAATAGTGTATGATCATGTTATGTAAGACTGTATGGTAATATGTGTGCACATGAAGCTGTACACACAACCTTAGTAGTGGCATTTCTTAACTTTTCAGTAGCTGACTTTCCAACCTTAATAATCTTTTTATCAAAATTTAGTGAGAGATTTCTTAGGGCTCTTTTTAAATAAACAAAAATAAATTCTGTCGCATGACATATTGACACCCACTTTGGTTGCTGTCAGGATTGAAATCTTTAGAGCCACTACACAGACCTCTGTCATTAGTGGAGTAACTGATGAGAGCATGACAACCTACTACTGCTGTGTAGACCAGAACTGTAGAGGGGCTATGACAGTCCATCCATTCTAAATGCTACTCCTTTCTGTCCATCCCTTCTAACCTGTCCCGAGTCTCAATCCTCTGGATTTGACTGCCTATTCCATTCTTCCCCTTCTGCCCCAGTCTTTTGCCCAACTAGCCCTAGTTCCCCACTCCTTCTCCTCATCTGATTACTCTCTCCCCAACCCTGGCCTCTGGCACCTGCTTCCTTTGGTTCTCTGTCCTCATCCCAGTCCCAATTCTCTCCCCAGGCTCCTTGTCCAATATTGTTGTCCTCACACTTCAGTTCCTTGTTCTTCTCTCTTCCCTCAGACCGACCCAGTACCTTCCTACATCCTGACTTCGCCTCCCTCCTGCCAATACCAATCCTAATTTTCTCAACTCCCCTCCCCTGGCTCTTGTCTCTTTTGCATCTGAATTGGGCACTTTACTTCTCATTGCCTAAACCCAGCAGGCAAGTCGTCTTGGGCACATGAGAGCCAGACTCAATTGCTCTTCTTTCAGGTCTGTGGACCCAGGCTGGTCCTCAAAAGTCCAGAGCTCCATTTGCTACAAAACTCTAGAGCACGGTCTGCTCCATGCAGATAGAATCTTTGTAGTTTTTAGCTGCAGAGCTCTAATAGATGTCCACAGTTTGAACATGCTTGGTACATTTTTTTTGTAGTTTGGCTAAGATTGATCAGATTTTCACAGGAACAGCAAAAAAATGCCCCTTTCATAAAGATCATCCCCTATCAAATTTCAAAAGCCTGCTCTAGAGCTTTTCTAAGAGAAGTTGCTACATTTTTTGTAACATGGGCAAAAGAACATATTTTTCCCTAGCCTTTTGCTCAGAAGCAGGTGAATTGTTTTGGCTAAAACAGAAAACAAAAGCTTGAAAATAAAATACAGGAAAATACAGCCTAATGCAGATGCCTTGCATGGGAAAAAATTGTTCTTAAATTATTTAATGTTGTTAAAATTATAAGAACTGAAAGCAGGGTCTTGTAAAGATCTTGTGGGATCTGCCCTGAATTTAGATCCTTCTGATAATGAAGATGTTTTAATCTCATGAAAATGGTTTCCCTGATTATGGCTTTCTCTGTGTTTCTTGTCTTGCAGCAAAAGCCAAATCCAAATGTGGCTCCACGTTTTTCCCCTGTTCTAGTGGGATCCATTGTATCATTGGCCGCTTCCGGTGCAACGGCTTTGAGGACTGTCCGGATGGCAGCGATGAAGAAAACTGTAGTAAGTGTCACGTCTACCTTCATATGAAGAAACATCTTGTTTGTTTCCACAAACCAATACGGCCCAAGAAAGAAACATTGTCCAGTTCTTTAACCCTGATTTAGATGCATACTCCCTATTGTTTGCAACCTAAATCATGTTTTGTTATTTTGCTTTGTAACTGCAGGGCCTCTTGATAGCAACAAGATATTAACGGCAACCTGCCTCATCAGAAAGTGTGGACTCCAGCACTTCTCTAAAGGGGGCTTCTTGGGGTCATTTAGACCAAAGACTGTTTTATCTTGACTACAGGTCCCGCCTAGGAAATATTTGTATTCATTATTGTTTGCAGTTGATCCATATTAAACACTGAAACATAACCAGGCATTCTTTGCATCCTCCAAACAATTATTACCAAGCTTTGTCTTTTTTCATAAATCAACCCAGGTCTGCCTGCTGCTACTTGCCAAAGGTGGGCTCGCCAGTTTTATTACTGGTGCCCTTGCTAAAGTTGCAGTTTGACTCAGGCAGCAGATTGTAGGGTGGAGCTCCATGTTAAGTTTATTGAGCTTTAACTTTCTTTGCAAATTGGAGTGTTTCACTAAATGAGAGAGTGGATCATAGTAAGAAATTGCTCCCTGCATCTCTCACAGGATAACTTCCTCAAACAGGGCATTGCTAATTTTCTCTCATTCCTTTCTCTGTCATCTTTTGTCTCCTCTCCTGCTCTGCTGATCCCTGGATTACACACCTGCTGACTTCACTAACACAGCCCTGCAGAGTCAGGATGGCTGTGGGCAAGCTCATCTATCTTGTGCATTATTAACAGTATTGTCAGCTAAGTTTTGAATGCTTACTATTATTGGTGGGCATGGGAGGACAGAGAGACTGGCTGGATTTCAAGATTTTGGGAGCTGACTGTTAGAAAAATATTATAGTTATTTGATTTGGAAGAGCGCATTTCTCCCCATGTAGAGAACCAGCCCAAAGCCTGCACGTGACTTAAGTATGATTTAAAAGTTTGAAATGAGACTTGAAATGGGTCCCTATACACAGGGATGAATTCCCCCCAAGTTGGGGCAAGCTCTCTCTAAAAGTAACAGAAAAATAATTTGTTGTACTATGTAATTTTTTTTAATTTGAAAAGTGTATTTTCTCTAGCCAGGCCTGCATTTCAGCCCCTTTGTTTATACTAGGATACAACATATTTGATGGAGTTTGTGAGGGGCCAAACTTAGAAAAACTCTCGTAGTGAGGAAAGCGTTTTGCTTTAAGCTGAAGGTACCTGGTTAGCTTAAAGTTACATTTTGACTTGTGCAAAGCTTTTGCATATGGCTGAATTAGATCCTTTTGTATTGGTAACTACAGAAAAGATATTGCACAGTGGTAAGGAAAGTAAGGAAAGGTTGTGCTCTGCTGCTATTAACAGGCAGTGGTAAATACACAGATATGCTCTGGGACTGCAGTTGGCAGCTTGCAGCTAGTGCTTGCTCACTCTTGCCACAGCAGAGTGGATTTTTTTCCCTTTTAATGACATTTAAAGGTCAGGGGAAGGACAGCAGACAGCAGCTTTCTCAGATAACAAAAGGAGCAATTTTTACAGTGATGCATCACTGTCCACTGCATGCGGGACATGCCCTTTTCATCTCTGTGCTCCCCACACTCAGGTGTCTGGTAGCACCAGCATCTCTGACCTTTCTCTAAGAAGCTATCTGTTGATGTTTTGTGCTCTGGGAGAATGGGGTGGGGAGATGGTACCCCTAGAGAGAGAATGGAGTTAGAGAAAGAGGATTAAAGTCTAAGGAAATGTGTGGTTTCTGGGCTATTCTTGAACAAATTGGACTAGAAAGAGTGCTTTGGTCCAAAGTGCCTTGAATAATATCTCCTATGAGGTGGTGGAGTGAAACGTTAGACGACGTGTTGAACTGATGTATTTTAAAATGCAGTTGGTTATGAACTACATAATTTTATGTGTGTGCGCAATATATAGCTCTGAGTGTGCCTTACAACTGATCATACTCGTTCCCAGATGATGCGAAAGATAACACCTTCAGTTTGCTTAAGCTAGGACTCCACTTCCTCTCAGTTTCTCTAGGAGCAGTCATATTGCAGACCCTTGTGTCTACTATGAAATCCTGCATTTATGCAATAGCTCAAAGGCAGTGAAGAGATGGCATTTTTATGCAGGGTTTTGGATATGTAATTTGCTTAGATGTGTGTGATGTCTGTCTTGTATTCTAGGGTTTGTAAGAACAGAGTCTTTAAACTGTGTTGCATTTCAGAGTTTCAGAAGATGTACTGTTTGGGAGGTTCTTTTAGTTAGTTTTAAAGAAAAAAAGTAGGCAGTTAACTTTGAATATTACATTCAGTTTGTCACCTCCTTTCCAGTAATTGGAGGGAGCTCAGAGAAGAGCAACAAAAACGAGTAAGGTGCTGGAGAGACTGAATTCTGAGAAGATCTTAGAAAAGCTAAATAATGTCTAGCGTGGCTAAGCAATGAGCATGAAGGAAAGTATCACTAGCTATGCCACATATGAAGGATGCCAGCAGGGAGGGAGATTTAGTATGACGTGCAGGATATAGCTAGAGGTGAATGATAAAATTAAGGAAGTGGAAACATTGGCAGATTTCCCTGATGTTTATCTTCACAGTGAGATGTATTAGTCTGTGGAATAGTCTCCCAAGGGAAGTGGTGGAAATTTTACAGCTTGAGAGACTTTCACAATGAGACTGGATGGAACAGTAAATGTGCTGTTACAAACAATGCTAGGTTAGGAGGAGAGAAGTAGATGATGAAATGTTTGTGTCTGTGATTCTGCTTGTGTTATAAAATCTTTGTGCACGCACAGAATTTTGTTGGGTGTTTGTACAGCTCCTAGCACACTGTGCTCCTTGCTTATGACTGGTTCTCCTAAACTGTATCATACTCGAAATATTACACACACAAATGCAAAAAAAACATTATTAAGGTTGCAAAATCAAGCCCTGGTCTAGGGCCAGAATGAACTGTAATTGCATGGAACTGGGAACTGTAATTGCATGGAAAATCCTGCTCGGTCCAATCTGAAGCATGCCCGGTATTGATGGAATCTTTGCAGAATTAAGCTGAGAAGCTCTAGTGAATCGCTACTGAGCGCCTGCAAATTGCAGTTTTTCAAAGACTTATCACTTGCTTGGCCATATTTTCAGAGATGGCAAAAGGCACATCTTTGATACAAAGATCACCCCCTGCTAAGATTCAAATCCCTGCTTCACTTCCTGAGGTTCTAGAGCAGTGTTTCTTAAACCGTGTTCCGAGACACACTGGTGTGCCGCGAAGCAGTTGGAGTTGTGCCATGGAGAACAACAGAGTTCAAAATGGCCATCCTTAAAGGGGCAGGTGACCTTTTTTCTTTTTGCTCAATAACTCCCCCCCCCCCTTTTTTTCCCCATAAGAAAAATTGTTTTGTGTTCCTTGGTCTTAAAAAGTTTAAGAAACACTGTTCTAGAGCTTTTATAAGAAAAGATTTCCTGGAGTTTTTAATGTGGACAAAACCGTCTATTTTTAAAGCCCTGTACAGATATAAAAATGTGGGTCCACGTTGACTGGAAACGTGCATCTGATCAACAGTCTGTTCCTTGCCTTAAGTGTATTCGCATCCACATCTGCACCTCTGCACCAGAAAGGGGTCTTACACTGCCTCAGGAGGAGCATCTGTGTGAGTGTGTCCTAGGGGTGCTTGTTCTGTTCTGCCCCACCAGGCACTCTAGCAGGGATTGGGGGTGGGGGTACGTGCTTGCCCTGCTCCCCCATAGGAACCCCTGGTGGGCACAGCAGGGCAAACATCCGTGCCCCTAACCCGCTTCCTCATAAGCCTCAGCCAGGGAAGATTGGAATAAGCACCCATATGCTTGCCATGCTCCTCAGCGGGAGCACCCCAGCCCCGGTCCCCTGTAAGCGCCTGGCGGACAGACAAGGGCACCCATTTTTCTGGGGACTCTGTCCACTAATCTGCCCCTGCAGGGGTCCATGGCTGGCCCCATCACTTTACTTTGAAAAGTAATAAGAGCCAGTGACTGAGGGAGGGTGTGCAGGCGCAGATGGGGGGAAGGGTCTTGTAGGGAAGAGGCAGGAGAGGGCAGAGACTGGAGAGGTTAAGGAGCAGCACAGAGTTAATGGGGCATTGCATCTCAGCTGCTCAAGGTGTTGTTATCAGTGGAGGCAGCAGAAGCACAGAGTAGTGGAGCTCTTTTTGTATTATCGACATCTGCTCCACTATCCACAAAAACGAATCATGGATATCCATGGTAATCATAGAATACTAGGACTGGAAGGGACCTCGAGAGGTCATCGAGTCCAGTCCCCTGCTCCCATGGCAGGACCATGGAGTTATGGAGTAGATATCCATGGATTTGTAGGATTCCACATCTTCCCCCTTAGTCTTGTTCTTGGAAATGACTGAACCCTTTTGACTAACCTCCCCCTTGCTCCCTCCCTCAATATAGCTTGAGGCAGATACTGGGCATGAGAAACATCTGTCCAAAGTTGGACAAAGTTTTCGAAGTGCTTGTTTTGCTTATCATGGGAAGTATTGAGCAACCTTAATCATAGGAGGTGCAAGCAGCCCTTCCTAAAACTGGAGCAATAAACATCTGAGAAAAAGTGATACAGTTTGATGAGAAGACTTATCACAACTATGTGTGGACTAGCTCTCTGATGGTTTTAATGAATTACATGAATTGAAATTTCCAATTCCCCTCCTTGAGAAGTGCTCAATTTATTTGACTGTCACGTTACTCCCACAGGCTCCGTAAACAAACCAAATGTTGAGCTGTGACCATCTTTGTAGAAGTTCTTAGGGAGTAGTTCTCTGTCTGGGTGAGAGCTAGTTTCTAATGAAAGATCACACTTTTGTTTTCACAGCAGCGAATCCTTTGCTGTGCTCTACTGCCCGATTCCATTGCAAGAATGGCCTTTGCATCGATAAAAGCTTTGTATGCGACAGTCAAAATAACTGCCAGGACAACAGTGATGAAGAAAGCTGTGAAAGCCCTCAAGGTAGGCACTGGGTGTTTTGATTATGCTCTGAAGGGTTAAGCAAAGCCTAATGCCTGAAGACCAGAATACAAAGAAAATATGACACTCCTGGCTTACCCAGCATTGTGAGTAACCGTTCTGTCTTCCCCATGCAAATATTCTTATGGGGGATGCTTGTTGCAGCTCTCCAGCTTGTGTGTACTTCATTATCTGAGCTTTCAAAAGCTTGTCATAGCACCTTTCATCCGAGGATCTCCAAGAGCTTACAAGGCCTGATCCAACTCACATTGAAGCCAGGAGGAGTCTTTCTACAGTCGGAGCTGAATTGGCCCAAAGAGTCAGGGAACCTCCCAACTCCCAGCAATTCCCCCTGTTTCGCAGGTGGGTAAACCTGTCTGCAGATAACACCCTAGACTCTCATTGCAGAGTCACATTCCATTTTGCAAGACACTTTTCATAGTAGGGAATGTTTTGTCTTACTATTAAGTAGGCTTAACTTTTTTTGCTCAGACTTGCAAGGGAAAAACAATCCACCTTCAGGTGGAGCTCAAGCTTGAAAAATTTCATAGAGAAAAAAGTGAAAGTTTCAACAAGAATGGGTAGCTGAAAGTGGAGGGGGTGGGAGTTAGAAAGGAAAACAAACTTAAGTCTGGTCTCCTGATCCTGCTGTTCGTGACTCAGCTAAAATATTATGGGAAGACAATGAGATTGTGTTCTGGAAGGGTTTTTTTATTTGTTCAATAGTTTGCCATTTGTTTTAGCATTGTAGGCTCAATAAACTGTGTTTGAATGGGTATGTCAGAACCCAAAGCAGGGGACTTGGAGCTGGAAGTCCTGCATTCTGTTTGCAGCACACAGACTAACTCAATATGATCTAGGACACAACTTTGTACCGCCTTCCCATTTATGACATAAGGATGATAAGTTTTCCTACCTTGTAGGGTTGTTGAGAATTAAATAACCTGTGTCCAATCTTGTGACTTCCTCTAATACTTTGCACTTCTACGGTGCCTTCTATGTTTATAATAAAAAAAGCCTTATTGTAACACAGTTTCTAACACTTTCCATTTTTGCATTTTCCATCTATAAATGTGTATATAGCATGGAAAAAAATCCAGGTGTGAATAACTTAGTTGGACAAATACAAAACACCTGAAGGTGTGGTGGTATCATGGCTGGGATATCTGAGGAGGGAAGGTTTTGTAAAAGATGTGGGGCTGATTTCCAGGAGAAGGAAGTGTGCTGGGCCCACAAAAACTTGGGAGGATCTTCTTACCACAGAGATGAGTGGCATGCAAGAAGGTAGGCATTCAGTAACACCAAAATTGAGAATAGTTTGGTTTTTTAATGCCAGTATTGATTATGTGATACACCCAAGGGGGAAAAAAAATCCCAAACATGAAAATACCCTTGACAAATGAGAAGGAAAATGAAAGTGGCATTTTTTTCTATCTGTAACCAGCATAAGGAAAAAGTACTATTACAATATCAACAAACTTTTTTAAAGCATGTTTTTCCCCTTCTTCTTTACCTAGGAAAAGCACTCATCTTTTGCTCATGATATGAGCACAGTAAGGGTCACACTGTGCAAGGGATATCAATAGAGAGAAATTTTCAAACACACCTTTGATCAGAGAGAAGCTTATGAAAGTCAGGTTTAGAATCTTCCTACTGGACTTGGGAAATGTTGTGGTCTAATCCTGCTCTTGGAAAAGAGAGGAGAAAAGACTTGTGGCTAAGTCAACCATTTGTGTACTGCTTCTGTGAGAATGCTGTTGCTAGTGTATTGAGGGGTGTGTTGTTTTTCACCACAGGCAGGCTTACATTCAGAGATTATTTCCCAGAGTCCTCGTGCCTTCCCCCTATTTGGGGAGTTGGGCTTCAGCTATGGAGTGGGGGGTCTTGGGGCTTTAAGCCTCAGAGCCCTTTTAGCTGTGGCTTCTGCAGATTTGAAAATGTTTACCAGCACTCTGCTTTGGCTAGCTCCAGCTGAATTTAAGCCCTTACGGCAGGCCTACAGCAGTCTAATAAGGTTAATTTGTGTTGGGTTTATTGTTCAGTTGGAGGCTTAAAGCAGCAGTGTTCTTTCCACACTTGGGGTGGATGCTTCCTCTGCAGATTTATTGGCTGGCTTGCCTCCAGGTTGCATGCGTTGTCATGACAATCTGCTGTTGGAAGTGATGGGTTGCACCCAGGAGAAGAAAAGAGCCATATTTTATGAGGATGTTACTTTGTCTTTGTGCCTCTGGAAAAGTCAGATTAAAGGGAGGGTTAAAAAGAGTCATTCTGTCTTATTCTGTGCACCACTGAGCCCCTAATGAGAGAAATCAAGCTCTCACTCTACACTGTGATTTCACTGTGACCAGAATAGTAATTGGAATAGTGTTATTCACTACAAAACAGTTAGGTGCTTTCATGATTCCAATGGACCTGGAGCACAGGATTGGGAATAAGAAATTCCTGAATTCAAATCCTGGCTCTGACAGACTTTTGTGACAATGGGCAAATCAGCATACTCTTCTTTCTACATTCATAAATGACAATAATGCTTGATTAACTATCTGTCACTGATGTGGAGGGTTAAAGTGTGGAATGGGCCAAGAATTTCATAAATGAAGTATCACTGTCTCCAAGTTCATTATTAGGCCTGTACTAGGGATGTTAAATATCAGTTAATTGAATAATCGATTAACCTCACGAATTCTTATTGGTTAGTCGACTATTCCATAGTTCCCGGGCAGCCCCTGTCCAGGGAGAGGTCTGAGCTTCTGGACCCAGCACGAGCTAGAACTGAGCCAGGCTGCCTGCCCACCTGGCTCCTAATACACTTTAAATGCAGAGCCGCAGCAGCGGTAGGTCCAGGACCCAGTGTAAGTTGGGCTGCTGGCCAGCCTGCTAAAAAATTTACAAGCCGGGGGAAGGGGGGAAGGAATGCATATAGTCCTATAGGATTAACCTATAAGCTTTTGCTTATCGGTTAATCGACTACACTATTACATCTCTAGCTGTACTAGACTTGATTAAATTAATTATTTAAAGTAGTTGGAATGTAAAAGCTAGTTTAGCTCTCAATGACAGTAAAGAACAGAGATCTGTAGCCAGGATCAATGGCCCGTGAAGTGTCTACAGTAGCCTTCAGGACAGAGGTGGGCAATAATTTTTGTAGGGGGGGCACTTCACCAATTATAGTTGTGGTTGTGGGCTGGCCCCGGAGGGGGCAGAGCCTCATGCAGAAGGGCATTACTTTGGCAAGGGGGCCAGACTTCATGTGCTTCCCCATGGGGCGGGAGAGCTCACAAGGTCTCTCGCATCTTCTCTGATCTGCCAGGAGCATGCAGTGGCCAGAGAGAACTGCCAGCCATTTTGAACAGCTGGCGGTTCCTTTTGGTGTTGTGCACCTCTGGCAGGGAAGGAGACTTTGCACGCTTCCCCACTTCCAGGCCCCGATTAGCCTGGGGGCGGGAGAATGGGTAAAGTCTCTCATCCATGCCCAGCTGGAGCATGCAACACCTAGAGGGAACCGCCAACTGTTTTGAGCAGCTTGCAGTTCCCTCCGGTGCTGCAAGGTCCTGGTGGGGATAGGAGACTTCATGTGCTGCCCTGCCCCTGGTCTCCCTTGGCCTGGGGGCGGGGACACAGCAGGGTCAACTGTGGGCCGGATCAAACAGTGTGACGGGTCTGATGTAGCTGCGAGCCGTATTTTGCCCGCCCTTGCTTTAGGAATCTGTTCAGTACCTTGAGTTAAATGACAGACAGTTACTTTATGTGTGTCTCTTGAAAAAAATTTGTGAAGACAAGCACCAGGGGTGAAATTCTTCATCCTGCAGAGGGCATATATCGCTTATCCATGACTTAAGTCCCGGTTAAACTTTTAAAAAAAGATTCAAGGGAGATTTAAGTAGTACATGGAGGCTCCTGCTGTCTCCCTGCAGATTTCATCATATATGCTAGTTCTGGGCTCATGGTATACCTTTTAAAGTACTGTCCTGAATATACCTTTGTGCAGCCATATATGCTTCCTACAAATAAATATATACAAGACAAGAAATCAAGCCATTTTTGAAATGTTAAGTTTACAAACTACTTAAAGTTTGATCTGTATTCATGCATGAAAGTTTTAGACTTACCCAGGAATGTCCAGTATGCTCAGATATTTATTTCTACACACCTATCTGCTGGCGAGCAATTCTCAAGTGTCATTTTGATTCCTATGTCGGGGTATGTCTACACTACAAAGTTAGTTCGAACTAACGGACGTTAGTTCGAACTAACTTTAATAGGCGCTACACTAGCACTCCGTTAGTTCGAATTTGAATCGAGCTAGCGGAGTGCTTAGTTCGAACTAGGTAAACCTCATTTTACGAGGATTAAGCCTAGTTCGAACTAGCTAGTTCGAATTAAGGGCTGTGTAGACCCTTAATTCGAACTAGTGGGAGGCTAGCCCTCCCCAGGTTTCCCTGGTGGCCACTCTGGCCAACACCAGGGAAACTCTATGCCTCCTTCCCGGCGCCGGACCCCTTAAAGGGGCACGGGCTAGCTACGGTGCCCGTGCCAGGTGCAAGCCTGCCAGCACCCAGCCAGCATACCCTGCACCTGGCACGGCTTGAGCCAACCCACCGCTGCCC